CATGTTCCTGTGGTCTACTCCTAGTCTTTTAATGTTGTTTACAAGATTGACTCCAAGAAGTTCATCCTGTGGTGTCTTCCTAATCTGACAACAGAAGAGAGAATAAAATAACACATGCTTGAAACAGCATATGTTTCCCTTGGAATTAGACTGACTCCCCTGGCTGAGGATCCCAGGAATCTGTAGTAATAGCTCTGTGGACAGCATCACTGGAACAGTTACATTCTTTTGGGCTAGGCATATATGTTACATAATAATTTTCTGTTTGCCAGTTAAAAGGGCTTTTGAAGCATTTTAGAATGTAATTGTAATGTGCTGCTCCAGAATTAATTTATACATAGTAGCAGGTAGTCTTTGGCTTTACATAGCTTCTGAAAGAATAATTAGTAGTATTCCTTGAGTTGCATATGATCCTTACTTCAGATGGGCGCATTCTTTTTTTGCTCATGGGGATAACCAACTTAATAGGAATGGAAGAAAAGATTCATCTTAAAGTTCACTGGTCTCATTCTTGCTTAAACATGCAATAATGAGCGTAATAGTGAAAAAATTGTTACTGTAACAAGTATATGGATCAGAACTTACTTGCATGAAGTGATATCAACAGAGTGTTATCTTGATGAATATTAAGATATGACTATATAGATTTAGCTATTTACATTTTTGTCAGGCTATACAAAATTAAGCTATGATAGAATCTGACTGATGATGCTCTCTCCAAGTCTGTATGCATTAAAAGGCTATCCCAGATATATCTCCATCATATTTTGTAGCTGGACATGGAGTCATTTTGTTATTTATAAGCTGATTTAAAAAAGAAAAAGATTTTAACAATTTTGATTCCTCTTGTGGTTTTTGCAATTTCAGTAACTCCAGCTATTCCATGTAGATTTCTTTCTTTTCTGAAATATTATTTTACTGAGTTTTAAAATTACATGTTTATAATCTTCTCAATGTATCTGTGGAAAAATACTGTAACTTTTGAACAAGATATAAGCTGAGAGAGAGAGACAGAGAGAGAGAATAGAAAAGATCCCCCACCTCCTCACCCCCATCACTGGCTGAAGCCTACTTGTTCTACCTTTGAGCTTTCTGGGGGCACATGGCCATAAACACTTCGGCCTCTGCTCTCCTGCTATGTACTGGACAGGCACAATGCAGATTTGTCTCTGCACCTGCATGGGTGTTGGATAGCAAACCACCTGGCAGGAGCAGAAAAAAACTGCATGACTATGCTATCCTTGCTCACGATGATTTGGAGAGCAGCAGCAACCCGTGATGTCAGGAGCCTCACAGAAACACTGGCAAGAGCACTTCAATCTGACACCTTATTCATAGATGCCAGCTGGAGGAGTCAGAGCTCAGCTGCTTTCCCATCCTTAGGGCTTTGATAAGTGGCCCTATCTGAGGCTGCATGGGCCAGAGATTCTCCATACCTGCTATAAACTAATTTCTATATATTTTTACATTGTTATGCCAAATGGATGTTGCTGATGAAGCCCCCCCCCCCCCCCGTGCTTTTATACAAACCTGAGATTACCAGAAGCTATGGTTTTTGCTTAGTTTTATGCCAGTGTTTGTTTAAAAACTGTTCTCATGCTCTCACTGTTGTAGAGAGCAGCTAGAAAACTTAAGCAGACTAATAATTTTGAATGGCATACTCAGCTGACTCTAAGAATCAGTGAGTAATGAGAAACAAACCATGCCATGCTTCCCATGGTTTGTTTCCTGAAAGCACAATGCCATGGCAAGGAATGATTTCATGATCTGTATATTACCTTACAAAAACTGCACATCCACATTGGTCATGGATGGTACAGAAACTATTGTATCCCTCAAACTTGTCCTAAGTTTTAATAAAGGTTTTGGTGCTAAAAATACTGCCCAGGACACCTGATTAATATGTAGATGAAAACTTTCTGAAATACTCAGTGAGACAAAGCTGTATTTTTAGAGTATGACTTTCAGAATGTGAAGCATCCAGTTTCTATAGACCTATTTTTAAAAACCTCAGGGGAAAGTTATATATGTATACTCCCAGCCTTTTTTATCTTCGCACTAAGTTATTGTAGGGCAATAACTCTGTTGACAGTGCTTCATGTTAAATTATAGGCTGCGCTTCTCTTTCCTGGAATTATTGCAACATATCAGCAATTTGTTGTTCTTTGGTTAGTATTGATAGGCAGGTATTACACTTTACCAAATCCCTCACAGGAATCTCTTATGCACAACAAAACATGGTTCAGTTCAAGAACCCAGCTTCATAATATAGCTGTGTAACTTGATTTTTTTCTATGCAAGCTGACAATTATGAACACTTGTACAAGAGCATCAAAAATTAAGAATCAAAAGTATAATTCCTCTTTGATTTAAAAGGAAAAAAGTATCTCTGAATTGCAATGAAGGCTTGACAAAAACTAAAAGGTTACACTATATCTCTTCTCTTGTATGAGTTTTCCTAAGGAGTTTTTGGTATTATTTATTACATTTAATTTAGGGAACTTTCAAATATATTATCCCACATTATCATTCACAAATCAAAATTTCCATGGAACTTGTAATCATGTTCATTTTTTTCATGTTTAAATGAACACTTATATTTGCTTTGGTGTTGAGAAATCTGCAGACAAGAGGTGTTCCATTATAATGTAGCGACTAGCAGCAACAACTTGTTATATGTCCTTGTTTGAACTTGATAAATTGGATTGTTCAAAGGCTGCTCATAGTTCATATTCCATAACATCAACTATCACAAAGAATCTTACTTGCCATAACATGTTCATGTTAAACAAACAGTCTACTTATTTCTAGAAGACTTCATTGATTTGAAATCAAATACCAAATTTAAAAAAAGAAGGCAAATGGGAATATTTACACATAATGGCAACATTGGGCTGCAAAGTATGGGTTTGTTGTTAGGTAAATGTTGCTTGTTAAACCCACAAATATTTCAAAGCATTCCAGTTTGAACATCACACTAACAACTTGGGAATGAGATGTTTGTAGGTTGTTGCTGCATCATTTACAGTGTATGTTCCCACAAATTGTGGGTTAAGATACCCATAATTTGCTTCCAAAAATCACATCTGAACCAGACCAATATCTTAGGATCTGTATTATTTACATGTACTTAAACTACCATTGCGTTACAATCATTACTTTTTTAATGCAATTGCTTCACTGTGATCAGGTTTCAAAATTCCGTTCCACACACTTGTCCTGCCTTCTGCCTAGTCTTACAGCCCAGTGAGAGGTTGTGTGATTCTTGCAGCAGTTGTCTTGGAGGTGTTCACAGGTCATCCCTGTTCCTATCTATCCCTCCTATTCAGCCTTGGAACCAAGAAAGGGGGCAGAGGTTTGTGACCTTGTGCTGAGTGAGAGAAACAGTGACCTTTGTTCACTGTTGACTATAGGTTGATCTGGGTAGTTGTAGATCCTAGCAGTTGATTTGTTTCTGTAATTAGCTTAACTATCAAACTAGTTGATTATTAAAGTACATTTTCTGCTCTAAGTTTTTAAATATTACCATAATTTGACAGTCTTTGACTGGTCATATTGACAAGATGTCCAGTTCTAGAAATTATATAACATACAATCTCAACATACTTGGACTATGTCTTTCTTTGATTGGCTTCTTAACAGTTCCATGATTTGTGCCTTATCAAGGGCTAGTCTACTGAGCTAACCATTAGGTTTCATGATACTAGAAGGCAATTTTAGACATTGGAATGAGAAAATAAATAATATGCATGTACATAATTATATTCATAACATATTTTAATTGAAAGGTAGTTAATGCACTAACTTAGGATTTGTAACAGCTAGAGCATGAAGTATTTAGTATTAAACTGGAAAATTAAATCCTTTAACACAAGTAATTGCTGTGATTAAGTATTCCAAAAGAGGCTGGGCCTTGGAAACATGAAATATTTTGTATCATAAACTTTCAGGACTTGCAGTTACTTGGTACATGTTTGAATAGAAAAAAAAATCTATTTTTATTCCTGTTTGAAAGTCAATATAGCCTTCAGGTACTTCTTTAAACAAGCTGTGTTATGACAACTTGCTCCAAACCTGTCTCTTAGAAATGGGCGCATGCAGCACTTGGGTTTTTGCCCAGTATTCACAATGACACCAGTCTCATAATTGTGGTATTAAAATAGGGGTTTTCACACCTCCTTAAAAAAGAATGCAATTAACCTCTCCTAGCTCTTTGCTCTATAGATACAGAAGCATCTCATTTGATTGACCCTCTGATTATAACAAATTACATTGTTCAGATTTTTTTCAGGCAGATTCTTTTCCTCCACCAGATTTTAAAATTATCAGTGATAATAATTAGTGAAGTATACTATTTCTCATGACATTACCTATTCAGCAAAATGAGACTTTAGTCAATGACACTGCATATTAGGTTTAAATACTTAAAAAACTAATCATCAGACTGCAGCAATTTAGAAATAAATACCAAGAGGTTTTTTAAAAAATGTCTTTTTTGAGTTAACCTGTAATCACCCTGCAGTAGAAAATGTATTTTTTCCTTTGTACTCAGTGTAATAATATGCTATAAAATTAAATAGTGTTTACAGTAGAGGTCAGTACCCAAAGGCTAACAGTGTCAACAGTTGCTTTTTATGTTCTGATTTGAGCAAGAGCATTCTTCTGCTTATCCTTTTTTTTTACTGCCTTACAATTAATCAGAAAACATTATGCATACATTTTATTCTGCCACACAGCTGGAACCCCAAGTACACATTCATGGTGGATTTACTAACTAGATATCATCACCAAATTCTCTTGGTACGAGAACATATTGTGTTTACTTTCCTGTACTCAGAGGAACCTTTGGAATCTAACTTGCATTGTAAAGCAGTGGGATGGGATGATGTATCATGTATTGGGCTACCAACCATTTATTCCCAGTTAATATTTTATGTATAATGCATGGATGAATGTGTTTCCAAATGTCCTAACTACCTTTTCATTGTTTTTCCTTCCAGTGTATCTTGAGGATAGTTTTGTAAAATCTGGCGTCTTCAATGTATCAGAACTGGTGCGGGTGTCTAGAAGTAGGTTTTTCCTATTTGAAATGTGTTGTTCATATATGTGTATTCTAGAAATCTAAAAGTATTTCAAAAGCAAAGCCAAATGTTATTGTATAACATCAATACAACTCTGCAATTTTGTGAAATTCTCTTCTCCTCTCCTAATATCTGAGCATTTATCTAGATTAACAAAAGGTCATCTGCTGTTCTTATAAGGGATATGGTTTTGTACAAACTGTGGTTTTTGGGGATAACAGATGTCCAGTTCAGTGTATGTCCAGTTGGATTTGGTTGGAGAAGATTCTAAAACTTTGAAATTAATTAATGTTCACTGAGGTTACATTCCTATGCAAGTTTACCAAAACAGATCTTACCGTTCTCAGCTTCTCAAATTGTCTGGAAGGCTGCTAGGAGTTACAGGACTATTTCTGTCTGAATGTGCCTAACATTGTGCCCTAAATGGCTTTGAGCAAAGTACTAACTTTATTACACATGTTCTAGATTTGTTATATGTATGTTAACTATATTGAATAAAGTTAGGTTATCTAGGTAAGTTAGGTAAGATAGACTGCATTCCACAAAAATGTATAGTTACAACTATAATTGTATGCATGGTTACTTGAGTGTAAGTATCACTTAATTTAGTGGAACTGCACAGTAACTTTACAGTGATAATGATTCAGGCTTACAAGTGAAACATTTGGTTGTGATTTAATGAAATATCAGGTAGAACTATTTAAACAAATTCCCTTCAAAGGTTTACATGCCAAACTTACTTTATATATTTGAGATAATGAGAGATTTTAGAAATTAATTCAGGGAATGAATTGCTCTGTGGCAGCCAAAAAATCAGAAACTGGAAATTTAATTTTAACCTGAATAGTTAATGGGTGCATTAGATGTGCTTCTTAATCTTTAGAAAAGTATCTTCAGTTAATATTATTTACTAATTTGATGTTGCCATGCTGTGCAACAGATTCTGTATTGCTCTACAGCTGAGCAATCTTACTATATTATATCCCAAATAAAATCTCCTTATGTACTAGATCATGGTCCTGCTTTTGGGACAGGGCCTTGCAGTTGCTGTCCAAAATGACCTTTACGACCTTGATTCTTCCTATTAACACTGTTAATCAGCACACACAGTTGTATGATGGACAATAGCCAGTTACAACTTTTTATTCATAAGCATTGCTTCCAATAACTGGGTAATTGTCTGAATTATGATGGTGTGCCCTATTGTAAGTTACTAACTGCCTTATACTCATTTTATGGGGTGATATTTTGCTGTTGCTTGAATAGCAAAATGTGTGAACTCTAGTCTGGAGCCAAAAATCATTATTAAACATGAACAAAACTATTGAGGAAATTTACAAGATGCAAGTTCTGCTGCAACGTTTCCCCTGTTCCTTTCTCAAAGCTAATACATGAGAAGGTACACCCACCTATCAGTCTTTATGCTACTTAGTTTAATTAATAATAGCATATGTAATTCAGAGGTAAATGCCAGAATGTTGAATTGGGATTACTCTCAGCTGAATGTGCATACAGTTGTAGCCTCAAGCATTTGAGATTGCATTAAACTTATTTACAGACATTCAGCAGTGAAAACATTCCCCCCACCAATGTGCGCACACACCCACCCCACTACATTCGCTATATGAAATAATTTACAGGCAAACATTTTTGCCTTTTGACATAGCTGGCAAAATTACTTATTTATTTATTAGATTTCTATCCTGCCCCCATAGCCAGAAAGTGTACAATAAAGCAGCAAATATACAATGAAATAAGTAATACTAATTTAACAAATACTGTTATACAAACACAACAGTAACAAAATTACAACCATCACAAATAACACCTGCAATAAAGCATCACAATAATCTCTCTATAACCTCAGTTCTTAGTCAATAAAAGGTACAATAGCACTAAAATATAAACAGTTACTATAAAAACCAGTTAAAATCTTTAAAATATCAAGTGAACAAAAAGTTCTTTGCCTGGTGCCCAAAAGAGTAAAGAGATGGTGCCAGGCAAACCTCTTTGGGGAGTTTATTTCCCCTTCCTTTTCTCCCTCAAAGGGGGCTCCTTACAAAGGACTTTCAAAAATGACCTAAGAGTCAAATGGGTACAAATGGGTATTATGTAACCCAACTCCAAAAAAGCAGTGTATAAATATCTAAAATAGATAAGTACATATTTTCTTCTAACCGTGTAATTTAAAACAAGTGTGTTTTAATTAATTAAAGTAAAAGTTGGGTATGTATCATGTGACATAACAAATTCTCAGGAAAGAGTTTATTTTCCAGAAGGCATTTTGTTTTATTAACTAAAGCAACCATAAATTTATGTTGTATTTAATTATCATTCCATTATTTTATTGTTGCCTACAGAATTCATAGATGAATGTGGAAATTTATTATAAATAATGATTTACAACATATCTGTTATAGTAATTTTCTGATAACTTCTGCGAGATGTGTCACAAAGCCAGAAAATTAATTGAACTAATTAATGGTATAACTGTCTACTGCTTCTGGGGGAGTACCCAGTTTAGTCTTTCTATTCATTACATGCAGACTTTTAGTAGATTTTCTTTAATGTGTTGTCTATTTAGCATTGAATGACACTTTTAAGGACTGGGTGTGACTATGTATGTGCTGTGTTCTTTAGCACCTATAACCCAGGGAGCTGGTGTAAACTTCCCCATTGGAGAACTTCCAAGTCAACCATACTATCATGATATGAACTCGGGTGTAAACTTACAGAGATCACTATCTTCCCCACCAACCAGGTGAGTTTATTATAACCTCCCCCACCCACACACACACTTGGTGAATGTGTGCTTATTAAATAAATACATGATGATGAAGATGATGATGATGTAGCTAAGTAATACTCTAAATGGAGCATGATTTTGCTTTGTACCTGCTAGGCTGAAATCTATACCCACTTATTTGGGAGTAAGCAACACTAAACTCAGTGGGCTTACCTATGAGTAGACCTGTATAGGATTACATTAGTAGTGATGTACAGTGTTTTGTACAAATTAAAGTTACTATGAGTATTTATTAATGTTCATGTTGAAATAAGAAAATTAAGTAGGTGTGGTGATACTATTTATGAGATCAACCTCTGTCACTGAAATAGAATGAAAGCTTTGACATGTCAAGCCTTGTAATAAAAATTACCTATGTCCATATTTTTGGCAAAACTAGAAATAGGAATCTAATAATGTAAGAAGTGTATTTATGTAAGGAGCAAAGGCAGCATATGGTGTCCTGCCCATTTTTACTGTCAGATAACTCTGTGAAGTTGGCCAGACTAAGAGGTAGTAATTGGTTCAAGGATATTCAGTAAGTTTCATGGCTAATAAGAATTTGAAAGTTTTTAATTTCAGCTTCAGTCTGCCACTCGAACCATTATAGGAAGGGAACATGTTTTGGCCCAAGAACTAGACTGAAAACTTGGAAACATTCCAGGGGGCACATGCTACATACATGCTGATAAAATAAATACTACTTTTTGTATATTCACAGTAAGAGACCCAAAACTATATCCATAGATGAGAATATGGAACCAAGCCCAACAGGGGACTTTTATCCTTCCCCAAATTCACCAGCTGCTGGGAGTAGAACATGGCATGAAAGAGATCAAGGTAAGAAAATCCATATATATAAGAGAACATAATAGTTCATTTCTTTGTCGGCTCAGAAGCAAGTCCATTGAATTCAGTGGGCTTTAGTCCAAGGTATGTATGTATAGGATTGCAGCATTAGATTTGTTATGGTTTATGTAACTTTTTAAATATTATGAATACATTTATGTTTGCCAGTTTGAAATTAAAAAGTAAAATCTAAATATTTGTTTCCCTGGAGTTTTCCAACTTTCAAAGTAATGTTCCTTATTAATCATTATCCCATCCCCATTACCATAGTTTTTGCACCCAGCTGTTGGATTTGCACATGCCAAGTCCTTTACCAAAACAATGTGGTTATCTCTGGAAACTAAACCCAGTTAGAGAGACTTGTGAGATATCAGTTTAATTATCCGATTCACTAGCTGGCAGAATCTAGAAACCCAGTATTAAATTGTTGGATTTTCTTCATGCATTTTATAAGGTGAATAAACCTGCCATCTTTTTCCAGCTTTGCTCCACTGTCATTAGAAGTAGCTTGGAATGAAAGCAGTAATACAGTAAGGGTGCATTCCAGTGGTCTACCAACATTTCTGTGTGGGGGGCATAGGGTTTTTTGGAGTCCCAGCACCAGGATCACAGGGTGCTGGGATTCTGATGTCCATGCTCCTAACCTCCCTCCCTTTGCAGCTAATGTGGAAAGAACTGCAGTGACTTCCTCTCCAAGAGCACAAATGCAGCATGGAGAGCAGTGAAAGGGGGTGTGCCAGGGCTGGGAGAGAAGAAAGCTGGGACCATCTACTAATCAGTGACCCAGCTACCTTGCCTCTCCCTTCCTGTCATTTAGCTAATGGGTAGAAATGACCGTCTGGATATAAGTAATGGGGCAGTGCACAACAGACACTGTCGCTGCACCTCATTACAGCAGCTGGATACACATCAACCTCTGGAGCCATAGGATCGCACCCCCCCTCTTTTTTAATGACATGGACAATGTTGACAGCCTCACCTGCTTTGTATTTGCCTGTTGGCTTGCTGACAAACACCTAGAAGCAAGTGCAAAACAAATACACTAATCTTAAAGTGGATTATTTCACTCTTGTTTTCTGCCCATGGCTTTTTTAACTTTTCAGTTTGCTTAGTTCTCAAATTATTTACATTTTCAAACAAGCACTTTTACCCTCCATCTGCCCACCTTTTCCTTGCTTGAAGTTCTTAGCCAATTGTCTTGCTGTTCAGTGTACAGATATAATTGAAGCAGTTTATCTGTTATCTGAATTTGTTATATTCATTGTACCAAGCAGTTCATATGCACTTTTATTAAATAAAAATCTAAAATAGAAATAGAGGATACACTAGTTCCTTAAATTAATTTATCCTGTTTTGCAAAGGTAGCTAGGAACTCTGCTTCTGTCATACTGTTTACACCTGCAGTTACATTGTTTACAATATTAGCTAAATGACAGTAGCATTAAAGGCTAACACATCATTGTATCACATTGAATATCTATTGGCATAATTGGCATAATTCAACACTTTTCATTAATTAATTTATGTGGGCAAAATAAGCACATGCAATCAATAGAAATTAAAATAACTTACTTTTGGCTGGATTGTGCACATCATTTTATTGCTAATTTAAATTTATCATGTTTTAGCACAGTGTTTGTAAAACCTTATCCCCTTGTTTGCTAGCTTAAAGATCTCTTGTGTGTTACAGGAAAGTAGATCAATTTCAATAAAGTGTTTTCTCTCTTAAAAAAATCTCATTCTTTCTTAACCTAGCAAGTTACTCAGTCTTAGAAGAAGGAGCTGCCTACCATTTCTCTCACACATTCCTCTCACAGTTATCCAGTTCCTCAGCTGTAATTAATAAAACTATTACTAGCTTATACATCAACATGGTTGCATGAACCTGTATCACACAATCCCATTTGTTTCAGATGTATATTATTCATGAATTTCCTGCCTAATTTCCTGCTAATGCAACATTCAGAAAATCATTTTTGTGACTTAGGAGACTTGTGCAGTTCTTTAAAAAGAGCATTATTTATACTACACAGAGCAATTGTGGTGCCAACTATGGGAGTCCAGGTTTTATTTTATTTCTGTCTATCTTCACATTTTCCTACTTATAAGTAGGAAAATATAAGTGTAGAATTTACTTTTTATATTTTGTGCTCAACTATAAAGTATGTAGCATTTATAAAGTATAAAACATTTACTTGTGTCTTTTTCTATAAAAATGTGCAAGCACAAGAATACTACTTGGGATTCTTTTTCCAAAAGGATCATCTATGTGTTGACTGTATTATTGCTGTGAACATATTCTGGGGTTGTGCATACAATATTATCTACACCTTCACTATACAGGAAGTAAGATCAGGAGCGATCCCTTTCTCTGTGCCTCCTCTACTGACCTGACCATGTGTAGATGTAATTGCCTTTTCCATAAATCCTCACAACACTTTGAGGGGGTCTTTGTTACACTATTTATTGAAACAGTTTAAGGGCATAGTGGCAAACTTTGTTTATATATGTACAATCAATTCTATACCTGGTGAGGGAACAGGGAGAAAGCACACAGGGGTTCAAGGTCTTCTCCCGTACGTAAGAGAAGCTGTAGCATCGTAACGGGTCCTGTATCTTGCTGTCAAGATGTGTTTCTTTCTCCTTGTTTCTTTGTTGCCAAATTGATGAAAATTAATTATTAAAACTAATCCCACGTATAGGGAAGAACAATCTTGAGTTCCTTGTCAAGGTGGTCTCTGCATAGTTCTTTTTGTGGAGTGCAGAGTTCTGTGGTGCTTAAGCTTTGGTGACCTTCAGTTCAGAAGAAAAATGTGTCTGAATGTATTCATGAGCATGATAGAAGAGGCCATTTAAGGCACATGGGGTTATGGAGGCAGATAGTTCCTGTGTGTCTCCCCCGCTTCCTCCCATTAATTAGGCACTGTCAAGTACAGATTCATTGTTTTATTTAGGATTTTAGTTTCTTTCTTTGTTTCTTTATTTTTTTTACAGTGTAGCCTTTCCAACCGATAGCGTATAGTAATGGAAGTGTTTTGGGCTGTTACACAGATCATTTGGGATGGTGTTAGGTCATTTATTTTTTACATTGGTATGCATTGTGCATGGTTACTGAATTTATTCCTTTTCTGTATCTTTTCTTTAGTTTTAAGTGATTTTTCTCATGCTACTTTCCCTTTCATAGACCTCAATGCATATGTTTTTTGTTGATGTGCTTCTACAATGAGTACATCCTTTGTTGTTACTTAGACTGTCAGGCTAGTGTGTTTTGAATATGCAAGCACGTGTCTTTCCAGTTTTCTTAGAACAAAGGTGGAGGCAGCATGATTTGTCTCAGAAAAATTATTGTGATGTAATCAGAATAGGCTTTTCTGGATCTCTTGAAGTTCAGAGGCTGATGCCTTTGTTGTCATAATCAGACACGTTTGAGGTCTGATTCAGTGGCAACTTCAGCACCAACAAATAATGGCTTTGATGTTCAAAGTTGGTAAGTACCAAGGGACTTGACACAATTTGTTCCCAGGGATCATCATATCTCCAAGGGATCTTCTTAAGAGCTATGCATCTTTCAGTTTCAAGCTCTTCTCAGATTCAGAGTTACTGGAATTTGTGGAGGCTTTGGTTCTGCTTTCCTCTAACCTCAGACATAAGGGTAGAAAGAAGCTGCACTTGCGAAGGGTCTCCATGCGAGAGGACTTGGTACCAACACAAAGGAAAAAAGAAGAAACACTATTGACCAAATTGCTGCTTTCATAAGATTCTGAGGCTAGTGGCAGAAGATGAGGTTGTTTATAACCTCAGTTCCCATCATCCAGTGCCATACGAGTATGGTCATTAATGGCAGGCACAGCTTTTCTAGAAGGTTCCTGAAGCTCAGCAGCACCTGAGATCTTTGCTCCACAAGTATGAATATGCAGAACCACGGTTATTGGTAAGTAATTCTTTTTTTAATTCATGACAATTTTATCACAACTGAGGAAGAAGGGGCATCTTGTGAGCTTAAAAAGGTTGATCAGCATTGTAGTTTAAGTTTCATCTTTGTAGAGAAGAAGCTTATCTTTATATATATACTATCAGTGATCTCAATTTTCCAAATGCCAGTCCTTCCATAGCCAAAATAGCACCATCCATGCACAAGGCTTGCAGAAGTACACACTTCATTAGACAAATCAGGACAGGCAATGAGAACTAAGCATGCTCAGTGACCTTGGAACTGTATCTAACCCTTGGCAGCAAGGAAGGAAAACCAGGATGGTAGAAAGAAACCAGAATGTTCCACACTGAGCATTTTGTTGCCGTCACCACTTGTTAGTTAAAACCATGATACTTTTAGATCCACCTGTATGAAAAAGCATAAAAGCATTAACTTTTAACTAGGTTTTAATCCCATTTACTAATTTAACTAATTGAAATGATGTATTTAAGTATATGATGGGAGCAAAAGAGTCCCTTCAGGTACAACTTGGAGCTTTACCGGCTTCCAGTAAAGAGTGGGAGGCATAGCAGAGAAATTTCACTTTCCCGTTCTCCTGCCCTGCATTTTCTTTAGATGGGCTTTTTGCCCATTGGTTTTGAGTTCTTTAGAGGGGAAATGAAGATGACTGGAACACCTTCAGAATACCTTGTATCCTCACCACTCCACTCTTTTCTCCTCCACACTTCTTTATCCCGCTATGAGGTAGCTTTCCTGGCCTGGAAGAGCAGCTGGTACATTTTTTCCATGACAGCTGCAGGACTGTGGGGAACACAATCAAGACACTGCTTCCCAGCTCTGAGGGTGGAGTGCTGTGTCTGACCTTGGAGACGGGAATCAAACCTATTGTACAAACCCTCAATCAATGTCTAGAATTGCTCCCTTATAGCATGAACCTTTTCATATTTGCTCAAAAGTAAATCCACTTTGGAGCCTATTCCCAGGAAAGCGTGTATAGGATTTTAACCTTAATCACATTTTGGGGGGGAAAAATGGGAGCTTGGTGGATACCATTTCT